GTCGGAGGGTCAGTGCTGAGGGAGCGCCGCACTGTCGGAGGGTCAGTAATACAATTATGAACAGTGTGTTTGGGATTGTCTATTTAGTAAAATTAGAGTCTTCCTGTTCCAAAATTCCTGCTTGAACTAACTATATCAGAAAAAAATTAACTGGTCATTATTTAAACCCGTGCTGTACCAATCCTGGGAGTGTCTAAGGGGACAATGGCCTAATCCTTATCACATTTCCTGCAGAAGGGAAAATGGATTGATGATATCAACTGGGGCCCTGTGTTTTTGCAGTCTGTTCTCTCACACTGGAGAGCAGGAACTGAACACAGAAACAGCTGAACAAAATTGACAAGGTTCACCCCCAGTCACAGCATATACATTCCAGAACACCTGGTAATCTCCACATAGAGGACTAGGCTCCAATGGCCTTCCTTCCCCTACCCTTCCCTCCGCACCCCTCTCCTTCTCACTCCCCTCACCCCACCCCAAATCCCTTGCCAGTCTCTTGCCAGTCCCTCTCCATTCCTACGTGGCTAATCTGGACCAGCACCCTGATCGCACCTGTATAGAGTTGCATTCTGCCGCATCAACTGTCTGAGGATGTGTTCCCGATCTGCGAGCAGTGGTCCTGGCCTATGAGCTGTGTTCCCTGACTCGATAACAGTCTTCCTATTCTCCAAGTAGTGTTCCCCATCTCCATTCCCGATCTCTCCCGCTCTGTGAGGGTGTTCCCAGTCTGAGTGGTGTTCCTGCATTGTGATTGTGTTTCCACTCTGTGAGTGGTGTTGCCAGTCTGTGAGCGTGTTCCCACTGCTGTTACTGCAACACCACTCAGTGCTTTAAGTCAATGAATTGTTGTCTGCGATTAATGTAAGCTGATTTGTGCACAGCAAGCTCCCACAAGCAGCATGCTGACAATGAAGAGGGAATCATTTTCGGGTGATGTTAATTAAGGGATAAATATCCAGGACACTGGGGGAAATGCCCCTGTTCTTTGTACCATGGGATTCTTTTCCTCTGCTGAAGAGATCAGACAGGGCTTCAGACAGTGGTGGTGTTGCCATTGTGTTACTGTATCAGTAATACAGAGGGTCAGGCTAATGTCCTGGGGACAAGGTTTCAAATCCCAGCATGGCACCTGGTTTGGTTAATAAGCATGGAACTAAAAGCAAGTCTCAGTTGGTGATGACATTGTGGTAAAAACCCATCTGGTTCACCAATGTCCTGTAGGGAAGCAAATCTACCATCTTTACCTGGTCTGGCCTACACGTGACTCCGGGCCCACAGCAATACTGCCCTTGGAAATGACCAAGTAAGCCTCGCAGTTCAAAATCAATTAGAAGGGTCAGCAAATGCTGACCTTACCAATGACAATCAGTTTCTGTGAAAGAACGAAGAAAAAATTATCTTGTGATCATAAAAACCTTTATAAGTTCAAATGCCACTCCTGAAGAGTTTCCCACACTGTGATGATATTGTTTAACAGGAAGTGTAAGGCCTCGATGTTAAGCAAACTTATCACGGGCCAGAATAGGAATATCTGATCAGGAGGAGGCCACTCAGCCCATCCAGCCTGCCCCTCCATTCAATATAATCACCTGTGATCGAACATTTCAAAGCCTTTTACTCACCCTATTCCCGTAACCCTGTATGTCACTGGGAATCAGAAATCTATCAAAGTGTACCTTAAACATACTCAAAAACCGAGCGTCAACCATCTCCGTAAAAGGACAATTCTCCTCATCTTGGACCTAACTGGCACTCCCCTTATTCTTAGACGCCCAATCAGGGGAAACATTTACCTTTCATATTCAGGAGCTTACTTTGCTGATGGAGTGGTGTCATTTTCAGAGAGAGTGAAGGTTTTGTATCTTTCTGTGAAGCTTGTCGCAGTTCAGTGAGGAGAACATGATGGATCCGTATAACCTGGCAATCTGCTTTGGACCCACTCTGATGTCGGTGCCTGAAGGCCATGACCAAGTTTCCTGTCAGGCCCATGTCAATGAACTCATCAAATCCATCATCCTGCACCATGACAGCATCTTCCCTGGACCGAAGGAGCTGGATGGGCCTGTGTATGACAAGGGGGCCACAGCAGAGGATTACTGGTGAGTCTTCCCATGTATGTCTGTGCGTGTGTCCGTGTCCCTGGCTCAACACAAAAGTGGCATGGTTCCATTACCTCGCTTCGGCAGTGCACAACAATCTTGATTGTGGTGACTGGAGTTAGGTGCAGAGGCGGGGGATAGAACATAGAACATAGAACAGTACAGCACAGTATACAGGCCCTTCAGCCCATGATGTTGTGCCGAACTTTTACCCTAAACCTAAGGTCTATCTAACCTCCACCCCTACGTTATACTATCATCCATATGCCTATCTAATAGCTGCTTAAATGCCCCTAATGAGGCTGACTCCACTACCCTCTCCGGCAATGCATTCCACGCCCCTACCACTCTGAGTAAAGAACCTACCTCTGACATCTCCCCTATATCTACGTCCACTCACGTTAAAACTATGCCCCCTCGTAATAACTACCTCCACCATAGGAAAACGTCTCTGGCTATCCATTCTATCTATGCCTCTGATGCCTGGGGGGCGGAGGACGCAGGGTGAGATGGGGGAGGTGGCCCCAGGTGAACAAATGAACGAAAGGCCAGGTTCAAATTAGAAACATTTCCCTCCTCACGTCCAAGCCACTGTCCCTTCAGCTTTTTTCTTCTTACTGCCTCAGTTTAGACAATTAACAGCGCTCCCACAGAAGACCAGCCCAGTTTAACATTCAGAAGTTGGGACCTAATGACATTATTCTCTACGATGTAGAATTAACTCAATGTCATTCCCCACCAAACTCCAGCCTCAACTTCCATCCCCTATCCATTGGTGTCCACTCCACCCTCCTCTTCCTGATCTCTCTCTCTTTCTCCGATTCCCAATCTCACTCCCCTGGGCTCCTTGCCTGTTGACATACTCTCCGTCTGCAGCGTGGTTCAAAGCCCACAAAGCCTCAGCCTTAGCTACACTCACTCCGACTGCCCTGACAGATAAGAGACCCCGTTCCTCCCCAACACACAGCTAACCCCTCCCTGACACACCCACATGTGCAGCTCCTGCACACATTCACCAGTCCACCCACACTCGTAAGACAGGTTTGGATTCTACCTCCTTCGCATTTCTAAATGTCTTTCTGTTCCAGTGAGAGCCCTCATGGAGACCCTGCCTCGGCTGAAGATGTTGTGCAAGATGTTGGAACAGAACCTCATACAAGTGAAGACGGTACATTGTCTGTTTTTATACTCACATCCACAGAGGAAGGGCTGGGCTCCTTGGAGATGCAGGGAGCCCCAGGGGAAAGGCACAGGGGAGCACTATGACCTGGGTAATCGTCAGTTTGCTGTTGGGTACAGCGATAGACTTCGGACCCTGAGCTGAAAATCAACTTTGCAGCATTGTTCAGTGAAGTATTTCAAAATATCAGCTGGAGGTTTAGCTGGGAATGGTGTAACATTTGATGGGGTCACTGAGAAGGGAAAGACTCCCATGCCATTGCTGCTTTTGTACCATAGTCTCTCTGTCTATCTCAAGTCCCCATTTCAAAGGCTTAGGCCACAGAATTAAAGGGGGATCTCGTTGAAACCTACAAAATTCTAACATGACTAGACAAGGTAAACACAGGAAGGATGTTTCCAATAACCGGGAAGTCCAGAACTACGGGTCACAATCTAAAGGTACAGCGTTGGCCATTTAGGACTGGTATGAAGAGAAATTTCTTCACCCAGAGGGTGGTGAGCCTGTGGAATTCTCTGCTACAGAAAGCAATTGAGGCCAAAACATTGAATTCAAGAGGAGCTAGATGTACAGCAAACTTTTTATTAACTGGCCCCTATGGGACCAGGAGTGTACTGGTTCATCAAATATTCCAGATAAAGAAGAGGTCCACATAATCAGTGTAAAAACACACACTAAGTAATAGAAATGTAATGCAGGGGCTATACGCATCACAGTTATACTTTATTTACAGCATAAATCACTTAAATAATAATGCAACATAGCCTTAAATAAAACTTAGCAGCAGAGAGCTTCCTCAATCACACCCTCAACTGACTACTCAGACATCACAATAATACAGTAAACTTCCAGTATTCCAGGTATAAAACTTTTGCCAGTTTATCGAGATTGCCAGTTCATAAGGTGCTGGTTAAAACAAAGTTTGCTGTAAATCAAAAATAGAAATTGCTGGAGAAAGTCAGCAAGTCTGGCAGCATCTATGGAGAGGAAGCAGAGTTAACATTTTGGGTCCAGTGACTATTCAGAACCAACTACATGTATATATTTCCAAGTCAGGATGGTGAATGGCTTGGACGGGAACTTGCAGGGCGGTGGTGTTCCCATGTATCTGCTGTCCTTGACCTTCTAGATGGAAGTGGTTGTGGTTTTGGAAAATGCTATTTGAGGAGTCTGGTGAGTTGTTGAAGTGCATCTTGTAGACGGTACACACTGCTGCTACTGAGTGGAAGGAGTGAATGTTGAAGGTAGTGGATGGATGCTGATCATGAGGACTGTTTTGTCCTGGATGGTGTTGAACTTTAAGCATCTTGTTGAAGCTGCATTCCCATTACCCTCATGTTTTGAGTCTAGATAATTCTTCATCAGAGCTGAAGTGACATGTGGAGGGGGCAGCATTTATGCAATAATTGAGGGTGAGGGAGGTGTGATGACAGTGGGCTGTAGAGTGCTGGTGGAGAAAAGATGTTGGTAGTTCAGATTGTTCCTTCCTGTAGCCAGTCATTTCAACACAGTGCCCTGCTCACATGCCCACATGTCTGTCCTCGGCACGCTCCATGAGTTACAGTGCAAGCTGGAGGAGCAACATCTCATCTTCAGACTAGGCACTTTACAGCCTTGTGGACTTAATATTGAATTCAACACCTTTGAATTGTGAACCAACTCTCATTTCTTTCCTTTCTTTTAGCTTTACTTGTTACATTCTTTGTCACCATGTCCTCTCTCCTCTTCCCCCACCCCAATGGGTCTGTCCGCTCTTTCAGAGTCTATTGGTGTGAGGTTGGAAAAACACAGCAGGTGAGACAGCATCCAAGGAACAGTAAACATTTTGGGCCGAAACCCTTCGACAGGACTGTCTTCTCTTTTAGGTCTGGTAGTTAGACACACCACTGTTCTGCCATTCTCACATTGCGATCACTTAATCTGAACTATTGACGTCTTTTCTCCACCAGCACTCTACATCCACGACTGCCACACTCCCTCCCAACTATTGCATAAATGCTGTCCCCTCCAGATTTCACTTAAGCTCTGATGAAGCGTCATCTGGACTTGAAATGTTAACTTGCTGTCTGTCCATAGATGCTGTCTGACCTGCTGTGATCTCCAGCAATTCAGTACAGATTCCAGCATCTGCAGTAATTTGCTCCTAGTTTCTCATTAAGCTCTGCTGACTCGCCCAGTTTTGAAATAACTTGCAATGTCTTCTACATGAGACAGGCTTTGTGGATCCAAATTATATTATGCATTATACACATCATATTGAATGTAAGGTATCCTAAATTATATGGAAAATATGAGCTCTGAATAGTGCCTGTGGATCAGTGAGGCTGATTTAGCAGATCCTGGTGTGATGAGTGTTGGCTGGGTGGAATATTTACTGGCGGTCCCTGGGTTTGTTGGTATTTACAAGAGTTCTTTGGGAGTTGTTGATGTTTGCAGTGTTTCATCACACCAGCAACTTTGCAAACTGTCAATCTAATGAGTTGCTGCAGGATATTCATCTTTGTTAGTCATCACAGGCTTTCTCCACACTTGCCATTCATGTGCTGCATTCTGAGGCTGTGTATCAGGGATTGTGGTCACTGTTGCTGATTTGCCATCCCCAAAAATAGACATATCAAGACCAGTCACCACTGTCCTCCATCTGCCCCCATTCTGTCTTCAGGGATGACCTGTACGTTTCTGTCTGTAGGACAGCTGTATTGTGCAATGTCCTGGTGCTGTTCTTATTCCTTAAAGAGGACTCTGCAAGCTAGGAGAGAAGGGATTGTTGACAGGGATTGCTCACTTCCTGACCAGAGTATGTTCTGTACCATAAGCAGGGTAACAGAGACGCTGTGTGAATGTCTGCGAGTTTGGTAAAATTTACTTCACTCTCCTTTCTGCTTAGCACCAGTTTCATTGCAACTGAGGAAACAGACTGCATGCCATTTATAAACCTAAATAAACTGCAGGTTCTGGCAATGATGCAAGCAGTTAGTCAGACTCACGGCCTGCATTTATTTATATAGCTGCTGTGCGTGATGCAGTTCAATGATCTCCTTATTCTATACATGAACCCAATGTATGACTTACCCACATCCATCAAGCAGTTCACTGTCCACTGGCCCAACCCAACTGAAGCTCTGCACTCAGAGCTCCATAGACAGTCACCTCACGAGAGGCCATTTGGCCCATCATGTCTTTGCTGATAGCCTGGAACAAATCCCACTGCTCCCCACATTTCCTGTAGCGTAAATTCCCGATGTGAGCATGGCAGTCAGGAACGAGGAGTTATTGGAGTTGTGTGGCCAATGGAAGCCAGTGAGGAGGACACCAGGTGTGATAGTCAGAACTTCCTGGAATCTACTCCCACTTTTCCTGCCAATGTTCCTGAAAGCAGGAGATTATCTGAGAGAATTGCCCGGTCTGTGAGCCTGCATGTTTGGTATGGGTTTTATCTGTAAAGGAGCTGAACTGAAATGGTAAAAGAACTCAAGTTACTGTCTCCCCTTTGCAGCCCCTAAAAGGTCAGAGGTGCCAGGATCAATTGAAAACTGAGATAATTGACTTTTGTTGACGCCAGGTTCTGTGGGATACAGAACAGCGGAATGGGGTATAGAACAACCATGATCAGATTGAAATAGCAGAGAAGGTTGATGGGCTGAATGGCTCCCTGTTCCTTACATTACTGTGACCCCAAATCATTCTTTTGAATTTTTTTGAGGGGGGGGTGATTCACGTTTAGGTGAGGGAAGTTTAAAATAATGAGTGTGTACCTTAGACCTATATGAGAAGCACATGAAATTAAATAGAGGCCACTTACTCACTGAAGACAACTTTTAAATATCGACAAAAACAAAGGGGAAAATCTTTAAAGGTGTGCTGTCAGCAGGAAGAGTTTATTGCTGCATTAAGTGAGGAGTGTGTGCAAATCAGCTGCCATTAGATTAAAACCTTTCAGTGAAACGGAGCCAAGAACCTGAGGGCAACGGGTTCAGGCTGCTCCACTCACAGGGAAAGACTTGTAGTTACACTTCAATGTTTAACCTAGTTTTCTGCAATGAGACAGTACCTCTGGTACAGCACCCCTTCAGTACCCCAGGGTTGGAAATCTCAGCAGAAGTTACAGGTTTGTGTACTGATGCTGGGGGACGGGTAACAGGAAAAAGGCAGAGATGGGATTGGACAATGGTGATGCAGCCTCAGAACCTGTGGCTGTGAAATTGTACAATGCCCTGAGCTTTATCAACTTCCTGAGCGAGCCAGCTGTTTGTTTCCATGTATCCAGCTATAGGCATAGTCCCGCTATGCGGAGTACACCTCCAGGAAATGAGACTGTGCAATTGTAATTTGAAGTGAGCTGGGAGCACAGGTTCCTTACATATCCACCTGCGATGTCACTTAGGTCTTCCACTGCCCCAACCTCGAGATTCTTGTAGAGAGCTCCTGGTTCAGAGACGATCAGTTCATACATGAAAGGGGAAAAGGGCATTTCTCGGGAGATCATTCTTAAATTGAGATGCCTCAACCTAAAGAGCCAAACATCAGGGACAGGCCAGCCCAGTCCAGAGCCAGAGAGAAGATGACAAGAACAAAGAAGCAGTGACCGTAAGGCAAAGGAGCAGAACGAGACCATTCAACCCATCAACTCTACTCTGACCTTCAGTGAATTCATGATTAATCTGATAATCCTCAATTCCACTTCCTTGCCTGTCTCCATAACCCTCAATTCACTTCTTGTCTAAAAATCTGTCCAACTTGTCCATGCTGACCAGATATCATAGAATCCCTATAGTGTGGAAATAGGCCCTTCGGCCCAGCGAGTCCACACTGACCTTCAGAGCATCCCACTCAGATCCATCCCCCTATAACCCACCTAATCTACACAATCCCTGAACACTATGAGCAATTTAGCATGGCCAATCCACCTAACCTGCACATCTTTGGACTGTGGGAGGAAACCGGAGCACCCGAAGGAAACCCACGCAGACATGGGGAGAATGTACAAA